CAACTGACGATATGTTTCAGACACATGGCCATTGGGTCAGTTGATGATAGGCTTTACAAACTATAAATGGCGTGTTTTTTTATAATTAATCCAAGAAACCGTTCACTGCAGTCCTTTGCAGCTGTCCCCACAATTAACCATAGGCACCCATCTCCTCTCCACATGATCTTCTCCACCTTATCTCCGCCTCCACACATAACTTGTCATTTCTCATTTATGTCCCACCCAAGAACATGCACTTTCTGGGCATATGTGTTCGGCTGTTAGCTATCTGTTTGTTCGTCACGCGCCAGACTTGGTTATTTTTAGTCCATCCTGGCCGGCAATCCGATCTTCGGTATGGAACCAGCCAAGCCCTTGTTCAAAAAGCTTTTCGTGACTTGACAAGTCCCTGAACCTTGCAGAATCACTTCCAGACTAAACATTAGTGTTGAAAATATCAGTCTTGTTCTTTATGTTTACCACAGTAGATTTTCACGGTGACTTTAGACTAGTGAAGGTCTATACTTCCTTTCTGATTCACTGCTGCCCGTCTTTGACATCCTTCTCCGTATCGCCTTGTACTTGAAACGATTCTGCTTATAAACGATAAGACAGATAGAAGCAGTGGGGAAGGCCAATAAAAATGGTTATTTTTGTAAGGTTCAGTGGTATAAGAAAAATACATGGACAAGACAATATGCACATTTTCAAAGCTTCGTTCGTCTCCATTAAAAAATAAATTTAGTAAAGATACTCAGTCACAGGGTTGGAGCTATATGCTCAGAAGAAGTGGGTGAAGATGAACTAAGCACTGTATATGATACCTTGATTGAAAATAGCTATCCTGACATACTCATCATGAAACATATGACCAAGAAAGCGGAAAAGGACTACTCACTATCCGTAAACAAGATGCCTTTATACATACGACTGCAATTCAAGGGGGATATACCTAGCGAAATAATAACGAAGAAATTAAGAAAATCAGTTCAAAGAACATTTAATGCTGATAAACTACAAGTTTCATTTTCTACACGACCGATGGTGACTCCTCGACGGAAAGATGAAGAAAGTAGACAAGCCACTTCCAATTGTATCTATCCATTCAACTGAGCTTGTGTCGGAGCGAGTTATGTCGTCCGTTGCTCTAGGAACTTAACTTTTTTGTGCTCGAGAACATCTCGCAGTATGGCTAAGTAAAGGTGTAGTAAAAACTATCAATATTTTGATATTAGACCACCTGGGGCTAACTGGCCACAAACCCAGAGAGCATTGAAGAATCCTTCTCTATGATCATATACTGGGTACCAAATAAATTGCCGAAAACGCCTAGGTATTGCATACTCCAAACAGCAGAGGCTATCGAGTTTTGTGTGAAATAACCAGTGGTTTGTGTACAAAAGAAGCATGTCCAACCACTACTACTGCCCTGTCTGGCCTTCAGTGGAGACTATAAATTCATGAATTTGTAACATTACCTTTCCTCATTTGCCTGTCTAATATTCAGTGTATTTTAACTTTGACGCTATCAAACTGTAATCCATTGATATTGCTATTTCTATTGACTCGATGTTATTTAAACAACATTATTGTTGTTCATAAAACTAATTCACTCACTATATTGTATATATAACTGTTGAACCTAATAAAGGATTGATCGAAACGAGTATTCTTTGTCAGTAACCATTATTTTGAAAACTACACATATCCAAGTGAAATTATACCACAACATGACCGTACATTTAACTGTTGAAGATGGAATGTAAAGATGGAATGCAACTGAGGTGGAGGGATTAATTTTAGATATCTATATAACAATGCACATGGTACATACAAACACTGTGTCATTAATATGCAAGTTAAAATAAATGAATAGTGAAGGAAATTCATTCGACATAATTATGAAGTTTTAGAAATTCAAATGTTTCAGAATGGTGTTGCATGTGACTAGCTACCAACCTCCGACGAAAGAAGCAAGGATTGTGACCTTAAAATTTAATCTCAGCCATTAACAATTCTAAAGAATAGTAGCCCAAACCAAAACGACCTAGCAAACGCACAAACGACCTTATCAAGGACAACTTCGGCGCATAATTGTAAAAAATCGTTTATATACAAGTAATGCAATGTAAAAAATAGTTACAGAAGATAACGTTCTCTAATATGTCTCCAGAAAAGCCCCTAATTTCTCAGGAGTCTTCATACTCACATTAAACCAAGTTATGTACATAAACTCATTCAGATAACTATATATCACTGGATTTCTTGATCCATCCACCATTCTAATCCGTTTTTTGGGTAACTACGGAAACTTTCGATGGAATTAGTATGAGTTCCATCCAAAGGATTGCGAAAACCGTTTGTATGGTTCACTACATGATGAATATACCCAAGATTCGACAAATGACCGTAACTACTCCATTCGTCGGTGTGAATAGTGATTCCAGGCAGCACTAAGCGCTGGATAATAAGCAATAATACACCTACACTGCGATTAGAAATCGCCTCAATATATGCTTTTCAGTGGGTGGTGTCATAGATACCCAATATCTACTGCTGGTTTGCTCGTAATCTGCCGCGATTATGTCTCTTTTTTATCAATACTGTCTCATCAGTTTGAACGATTACGCCAACTCCCCCAAGAACTTGAGTTAGCCTGCTCATTTTCCAGGACGATACGTCTCTGCAGTAATGGTACCACTGCACTGCAGACACTTCTGAATTTTCCGTTTCATAAGCCGTTGCTGTCTGTTCAGTATCCAGAAATTACAGATAATTAAAACTTTTGTTAAGGGTAATTTAGACTTTGAGAAAAAAGTGCCTAAGGAATCTGTAAACTAAAAAAGAACGACATACCCTCTCGAACTGATTTTCTCCTTCGGCGCTCATACCACCTGTACACAAACCCATCAATGCAGTTTGTGTACTTTTGTATACGCATATCACCTCCTCATTGACAAATTTTAGACATTGCAATCAGTCCGTTATCCGAACAGTAATCAAAAACAAGACCCGGAGCGAATATTCAAAGCAAAAGGTGTAGAGCATCCATAATTACCTCTGGAAAAAGCATAGTCACCTGATTGGTTGCTCAAGGTCGTTTAGGTTTGGGCTGCTATTCTTTAGAGTTACCCAGCCATCTAGATACAAGTTACTAATTGCTATCCCATATTTCTCAAACGAGCTCAAGATGAACAAATGACGTCAAGTATAAATACTTGGATTACTTCCTTGACTTGTTCCAAAAACATCAATGAAAGCCTAAATAAATTGAACGGATGACGAACCTTTGAAATTTGAAAAAATATCTGCTTAAAACTTTATATTTCAGTGTAAAATAATTCGCAAACCAGCATCAGTGAGAGGTAACTGGAGACTAGGGAACACTGAATAGTTTGGGACTCTTCTGCAGTGCAACCCACGACGCCGCTGGAGATCGAGCCATGGAACGTCAGGTTAGAAGGTCAAGCTCGTTGACTATTCAGCCATGTAGGATAGAAATCGACGATCCGGATCCCTACAAAAATCCATATCACTCTCCATCTAACATAACATAATTTCATACTCTTTTATTTCTCTCTTATTTCGTATCCTTTAGTGAACTCCTTCTTCAAACTACTTAGCTACCTGAAATATTAACATTGGCTTCCTTTTTTGTACTTTACTATATTCCTTCTATTGTGTATCACTGGTTCCGACTATATTAGCACTATGAGTATTACAAAATTGTCGTGTCATTAACCATCATGTAATTATTAGTTTTGTGGTTGCTTTTCTTATTTTCTATACTTTTCGGCAATATTAAACTGACAATCATTGTTTGTGAATGCCATAGTCACCACCTCAAAAAAATTTTGTATTATTCAGGATTACTCACACTACCACCACAAACACTGCATTAGATCTTGGCAGACTTTGGTACTTTTTCGCATTCATAATTACTTTGTGTTTATCCTGCTTTTTCTTTTTTTTTTTTTTTTTTTTTTTTTTTTTTTTTTTGCTGTTGGTGTCTTCAGATTTACTTTTTTTGTTTGTTTAATACTTATTTTAAACGTCGGTAAAATTAGATGCAAATATTGTAGATATGTGCTGAAAATTCCACACTGTACCACTGTACTGTTTCTGGAATAAAGCAAATTATTATTATTATTATTATTATTATTATTATTGTTCGTCACTAGATGGATGTCTTGAAGATGTACAAAGAAGTCGTTCAGACTTTATTGACTTGGAACCAGATCTGAATTTCCCTTGTACTTAGCGAGTATTCTACGAGTATAACCCTGACGACTTAACTATTTAAAAGTTAAAATTAATAACGCACAGAATGATCTATAGGTATATACATATATATATATATATATATATAATTCCATTAGACTAATATTTGTTTTGAGGTTTATGTTATCTGAGTTGAGTAATTTAAATGCGAAGCTTCCAATACCTTATTAGACAATATCTTCGGTGCTGACTTCACTGGTACTTTACTTATACACCACCTGGCTGGACGTGGTGGCGTACGCCTATAATATATCTAATTAAAAGTCAGAGTGCTGAATTTCATGGGACTGGGAGTCCTGGCATACAGGTGTTCATTTTGATCGGACGTCCACGCTAATTAAGGTGCCGATATAGATCACCTATCAGAGAACGGGTTGTCCAGGCCGACTAAGGAGGGGTGCACCGGCTTCGGGAAGAAACTCAGCATGCAAACGTCTGCGCGTGGTGTGGGAGCGGGATAACGCCTGTGAATGGTGGCCATGTGCCAGCCCGGTAGGCGCGTGGAGACCATCTCCTTTCAGCGTCGATGGCGTAGCGGTTAGGACTCTCGCAGACCATGCAAGTGATCTGGGGTTCGATCCCCCTGCTGATTCACACTTGATATCATTGGTCGGCCTGCAAAATGTAAGCTACCAACATCATATGCTGAAAATTCCATGCTTGAACCAAAAATTACTGTGTGTAATCGAGCTATAATAAAAAATTTTTAAACATTTTTCTTTATTTATTATTCACAGGCATTGGTTAAAACACATGCACAACAATATTTTCAACACTATGAATCATTGAACGGTCAAGTGGTATTAGATTTATATGAATTAACCTCAACAACAACAGAACAAGTCATTGGGACACGATTATGTCTTATCAGTCAGTCAGTGAAACATGATTCAGACTATCTGATCAGTTGTGTGAATATATTTTGGCAACAAATTGCCACCAGGGTGATTGCATGTGCTGAACATAAAGCTATTGAACAAATTGTAAGTTTAACTCGATCAATACTTGTTTGAGTTATTTTTTGTATGAAACTGCAACATGTAGTCTCTGTTAGTATATTGTCTTCTAGTACAGGAACTTCGATGAAACCTTGGTGTGCACGTGATCGAATCTGGTTATATGATAGAGAAGATTTGTAGCTCAGGTGGATGATTTTGATATGACTGTGTCCTCTGAGCTGGATAGTTAATGTGCGAAGCTTTCATCACCCTACTAGGTGACATCTTCAGCGCATACTTCAATTTGAAGTGAGCATTTAGATTTCTTCACGAGTTTATTGATCATCTCTCCAGGTGACCTTGGACTTGGTTGGTTGTTTTTGTGCGTTTTCACACCTTCTGGGGTTTTTGTATTGTAATTCATTGTTTTTTTGACTTGAACTTTGACCCTTTGTGTGTGAGGTTTCTTTCTTATCGGTTGATAAATTTTGTCTATCTCGATGTGTCTATTGATTGATGATTCATTGGAATGCCAAGCTTCTAAAAGTTCTCTAGCATTCTTCTTGTTTCCTCTGTCTAATATTTGAACGTTGTCCCAGTCGAATTGATGTCCATGGTTGTCTGTATGTAGTGATATGAGGGAGTGGATATCATGTCTTTTGACAGCTACCTTATGTTCGTGGATACGAAGACGAAGGGGACGTCCACTTTGGCCAATGTAGTGTTTTTCGCAGTTGTTACAATCTATTTTGTAGATGATGTTGGTTTGATATTCTTTCGCTGTTGAGTCTTTTGGTTGACATAGAATTGAATGAAGTGACTTTGTTGGTTTGTGTACGACGTCAATTCCTAAAGGTTTGAAGAGTCTTGTAGTGATTTCTGAGATGTCCTTTAAATATGGAAGGGCGATTTTCTTTGTGCTTTCCTGGTTACCGCTTACAACTTATTTTCAATCGTATCCTGAGGAAATTAACATAGCTAGGATTGCCGGAGTCTGCATTGGTATTATTGTCGTCATTGAACAAAATTTTCAACTCTACGAAAAGCGCCCGGTTTCAAAAATTCATCAAGTAGCAGAATTATTCTCTTGCCACAGTTGACTAATGGGGAAACAAGAAGTCAGTTTACAGGATAAGAACAATCACTGGTAGGTATACGCTTTACATATATATATTAGCAAAGGTATGCGTCATCACTGAATAGAGAATAGAATGGTAGTCAATTCTCTACTCCAACTCTATCGACTTTGAAAAGGTTCTAAACAGTGTCAACCAGAGAGTAATCTGATACCACTACGGATGAGGAATTCAAGCCCAGGACTAAAGAAGCAAGACGGAATTTAATTACTCTGGAACCCATGTGGAACTCTATTGCGCTTAATATATATTCAAGGAGATTCGGATTCGAGAATAAACACTATTGTCAAGTCACTTAGGGATTAGATGCAATACGTGAAGCATTTTCAAAAGGATATTGCAGATAATCATCAGAGGCTATTTTGTTCCACACTAAAGATCAAACAGCTCATTGGACAAAATAATCGATGAAGAATTTGCCAACATGTAAATCAAGAACCTGCAAACCTACCATTCAATTATGGGTCACACTTGTTTTGATAAGGTCTCACAGTGTGTTTTGCAGTAAGTATTATTTACTGATGACGTTTCGAGCACAATTTATTACTGCTCATAATCATATCAAGGTACTTACACAACTTTCGAACTTCGTTTAAATGACTCCATTAGGTTTCATCGCTTCACTTGATTGGTAGTAGTAGTATTTTCCGTATTTCTGACATGGGTGATTAGTCATTCCTATTGCACGTGTTGGGTATAGACCCGATGAACAAGGATTCAGCAATCAGTCTCTCGCTAAACCCACTTACCTAGATTACTTTTCAGAATTTTAAACCTCTCCCATCGTATTGTGTAGTTATATGTATATATATTGAAGGCCTTTTCGAAGTCGCTGAATCTGCGTTAGGGGTTTGACTGCCGTTCTGTGCTTTATTCTCTAATGACGATGCTTAGAGTTTCAAAGAATGTCCTTCATACAAATATATTTAAAACTGGTTACAGGATTTCATCATGAACTGACATTACTTAGAGAACCACTGGAAAACCTGGAGTACTGAACAGCTGTTTCGTCCTAGTTTGGGACTCTTCATCAGTACGCACCCACCGGGGTTCGAACCCAGGGCCTTCTGGTTACAAGGCGAGCTCGTTTACCATTAAGCCACTGGGACCCGATCCAATGGCCAGCCCATGAATTCTAACTTCTGCCAATTCACGATATAGCGCAACCGCTAGCCAATGTCTTCGGTGGAGAGCATTTGTCCTCACACTCGGCCTGCTGTACTCTACTGGTCACGACTTCCCACTGGAACCCCAGGTAACTACCCACCTGAATAGGTCCAGTCGCCAGTGAACATCTCATTGTTACTCAAGTACTGGTTTGTAGGGATTTGGTTGACTGGTTACAGGATTTCATTATGAACTGACATTGGTTAAAATTATTATTCTAATTTCGATTAATTTTTTTCTAATGAAATTTGTACTAGTTTGGAATTACTTATTTCATTCAAAAATATTTCCTAGCTTTGTAAACTGGAGCCTCAACCGATGCTCACTTATAGCGCTATTTGTACAGAAAAAAAGTATGCAGTCACTAATCCTTCATGTCTGTTTCTCTTTTGCATTTTAGTATGACACAATAAATTCAAATGATGCCATCGATAGCAGTGATGTTAAACAATTGTCTCAATTCTACTGGAATAAAATTCTAAATAAAAATGAAACATTCGATGGAAGGAATGAAAAGGTTAGTTAATCGTGTAAATGCTTCAAGCTTTAGGATTTCTAGTGCTCTTTTAACAAACACACACCGAGTTTCACAGATTAACTAACGGTTTATTGGATTACAGAAAACAGTTTAGTGAACACTAGACATTCCTAGTGGTTTCAAAACATTGTTTTAACATTAGGGAATATGAATACATGATCGACTGACACTAGTAGTCCAGTCAAAGAGATGAAGGTGTCCACAAAAGAACGAAATGGCAGTCCACAGGTGTTAACATCACTTCTATCAGTCCGTTTTCAGTCCAGCTCCTTAGATCAGAGAGAAAGACAAATCGTTACAAGAGCATGATTTCAATATTGGACTGCTACCAAAACGCGGTTTTAGAAAATAAACAAACAACACTGATTATATGGCACCTAAGTGATGATGTGATGAGTCTACTAATAAGCCATCAAGACCTTTCTCTGTTTTGACTAATATTGTGCTTAGTGTATAATTAGTGGATATCTCTGATATGTCGGTGGTTCAGTGATAGTGTGGTGAGAGCTGTCTGTTACCCAAAATTAGTAGACAGTAATTTAAGTCTCTGTTTACGCCATATCTCTTGGTCATGAGAAAAAACAAGAACAAAACCTAACCTTAAGGAAGTCAATAACCAATTGCAGCAGACTGAGCGTAAGAGGATACGATTAGCAAGTATATCAATGGACTGTCTAAGAAACGGTAACAAAGAGATGACAGAATTATCTTCAGGAGGAAAACAACCAATCAGAAGGCGCTACATCTCTGCTAATAATAACAAATAGCAATAATGTACATAAAAATCTATAAATATCTGTGGATTTTCTCAATAAACGATCTTTTGCCTGGGTCTTGTCTTCTGTCGTTACACCAGAATACTCCCCAGCCCAGCGCACAGTTCGGGAATAATTCCCCGGTCGATACACTCCTTGACCTGACCTCATTTACTTGAGAATAAGTGCGGGAGAGAGAGGGGAAGGTTAGACATGAGGCCAGAAGCCTCACTCCTTAAATACCACTGCTTTGCAGACTTCAGTGCTGAGTCTTGAAGTCCTATGCCTCACTTGGAACATAAAGGATTGAAATAAAAAGGATAATACATTTCTTATGGAATGATACAAAATGGACAATCATGCCAGTGAACTTCAGATGTACTGGACGCCAGTGAATTTACAGTCAAAACAAACTATTAAGTAAGTTTATTTAAATTGTCTCTACTCTAATCTTTTCATAATACAGTGAAGGCATTTATACGTGTTTACTGTTTTTTACTTTCCCCTTTACTTTTAAAGAATATTTTCAAGAAAGAGGTCAGTCGAGAGAAACTACTGGATTATTTCTATAGGAATTATTTAAACCCCAGCCGACAAATATCCGTATTCATCGATGTGAGTTGTATTCATTTTTGATATAAGGATAAAATTTAGGCACTGTGGAGGTAGAGTGTAACTCCATTATGGATAAAAGTTTATTTTGATAAAGTCTCACAGTGCTATACAGTGCCATATTAACTGATGACCACGTTAAGAGCACGAATTATTGCTCATAATTATATCAAGTCACTACTCACACAACTTTATTGCTTCATGCATGAGTAAAAAAATGTTGATTGGACATTTGAATAAAATGAATATAAGATAAAGTACATTCGGAAATAATAATATTAGTGTTATCAATCAAATACAATCAGATGGGAAACAAGATAATGACCGGTGGCAATAATATCCTCTATATCTCTGGTATTTGCATTGAGTCACTTCTCTGTTTCATGTGCTGGGTGTAGATTAACCTGATGAACCAGGATTCAGTAATCAGTCTTTCTCTCTCCACCTCCCTATATTGCTTCTTAGAATTTTGAATCTGTCCCATTCACTCTATTGTGTGGTTGTGTGTTAATGCATGCAGTGCAATGTAGTGCTGAGTTTTTTCTTAATTACTTATCTTCGCGGGATCAACCATTGTAACCTTAGCTAAATTCTTATATTCTGACAATCTGACTACCCGCAACCTACTAGTTTGGCGTATGTAGTTGACCTCATTCACAGTCATTGCAAGGTATTTTGTAAATTATATTATTTTTTTTAATTGGGTCAAGCTACAGGGCTTGTCCTATCTAATTGAGTTTGTAGGTTTGAATGCCACCCTAATTCCTGCTTTGTGGAGAATCTCACGTAGGGCTTTACATATGTACTTCATCTTATATTGATTTTATTCAAATGTCTGATCATCAATTTCACTGATGTATATAAATGAAGGAAAACAGTTGTGTGAGTACCTTGATATGATTATGAGAGGCAATAATTTATGCTCGAAACGTTGTCATCAGTTAATATTACTGAACAACACTGTGTGACTTATGAAAATAAAATCTTATCTATAATGGAGATGCATTCATTTGGTTTAAAATAATTTCGGGAAAAATTCGATTAATAATACTTTTTCTTATCCACCTCAGAGTTAGCCAGTGAATGAAATTTTATGAACAACGGTATTGTTAATGTACTTTACTAGAATTCCCTTAATGTCTCATTGGGAAAGAGAGCTTCAGCAACAGAGCTCTGTTTCATCGCCTTTTCTGAAGTTCCCGCTAGCTGTCTTCGCCGCTGTCTATACAAAATGATTCAGCGAAGATAATTTTCCTTATGGACAAAATCATCTTGAGAGACTGTACAGTCATACTTATAATTACCGAAAATTTATAGTTCTCTATTATTGAGTGATAGGGGGTGATATTAATGATGTAAAATATACAGTTATAAATTACGTAATATTCAGAGGCACAAAAGAAGAAAGCGTTAGAAATGTGATTAGGTTAAAATTGTTATTGAGTGAGAAGAAAGGTGAGAGGTGAGTGTCCATTTAACAAGTGTGAAGAAGGTGATAAAACGTACAAAAGGAACATGTGAGAATGATAATAGTGAATTAATTATTAAAGTAAAAACAAAGTTATCATTAAAAATGAAACATTTTACAGGGAACGACTAATAAAGAGGTTAAGACCATGGTAGAATAAAAGACTTCTTCTGTATACAGAGTTCCGGGTTCTATTGGCGAATTATCAACGCCTCCGCAATACAAAAATGCCGAAACCTGACTCCCTTTTTACCACTTGGTCTTAACTTGTAGATAATCTTGAAAGATGACTCCGGTGGAGGTGCGTGGTCTGATTTCACGAAGCGTACGAGAACTGACTTAGTATCTGTCTTGCATTGTCCTTTGGCTAACCATGCCGGATAATGTTCAGAGATGCGTTTGGAAAGTGTGCGCTTTGTACAGCCTATGAAACTAACTGCAAAGGAACAATTGAATTTGTAAACGCCCATTGAAGTGGTCCAAAGGGACAGTTTATCCTTCACACGTCCATTGATCATTTGCTGTCTACAGAAATTGATCTGTATCTCAGCCGAATAGAATGGTTCTCTCGGTGATCTGGATAAGTGGTTCATCAGAATGTCAGCTGCAATGTCACCTTTGAATTCAACTTTCATAAATAACGGATGATTTCGTCGATAAAGAAAATTTTCTTCGTTGAATTACCTTTTATTTTCCTCATGACTCAATGGGTATTTTAGATGATTGTCCATAAGTTTTCACGTATTCTTCACACGTTCTCCTACAAGTCACTTTTCGACACACGCTCAAACCGCAGTTATGACGACCACTTCACTCTTTTGACGCTGAGCTAATCAGTCATGTACCCTGTTGGAATCACCTGAGACAGCTGAGTTACTTCAAGATAGCCGAGTATTCAGTGCTCAGATCATTTCGATTCGGCTAGCAATCACTAATGGTTGATGTGAGTGATAAAGATCGACTCACCTAAATTAGTCTGTATTATACAGCTCGATGCAAACCGCAGTTATTTTGTAAACTGCTTTATGATCGCCTGTCTACCCGAACCTTGACAGGCGGAACAGCCGTCTCATTCATTCGAGGCCCATTTTAGGAATAAGGACAAGGCTTATGTCGACTTATTCAGGTAAATCATCCGAAAAACAGATGTTTCTCATAAACGTTCCGGGATGACAGTAAGAAAGTGAAGTTAAATATACCAAACACTTGAGTTATATGCAAACTATAGAATTACTAGATTCATGAACTATGGCTTTGGATTGCCTCCGAAATCACATGCAAGACAAGTCAGCAGATATCCTGCTGGAAATGAAAAAAGTACGAGTTTACAGACCAAAAATATTAAAAAACAAATAAATAAATAAAAACGTTAGAAGAGACATGATTCAGCAGGGGATGAAACAGAAAAGAAGTACGTACAGCAAGAATGGGGCGATAATAGAAAAACAACAGGTGTTATTAAGTTGGGTCCCTAGCGAAACATCGGTCTTCAACATCGCATCCCCATTTCATCCTGTTCTACGTAGTCCATTTTAGCTGACTCCACAAATGCCCTTGAGTTCTCATCTCTTCATCGTTTCCCATTTTGTTTTCACTTGACGGCGAGCGTGGCATGTTACATCACTAAAGAGTTTCGTCAGCTTGCGTCCAATTCATCTCCATTTTCTTCAACATATTTGTTGGACAATAAGTTGGGAGTACTGGGTAGCTGTTTCGTCCTGGTTTGGTACTCCCATTCAGCAGTACACACCCACCACATGGGTTCGAACCAAGGACCTGTTGGTTACATATCGAGCTCGTAGAGAAATAAGCTATTGGGACACGATTCGATTATCCATGAATTTCAACTTCTTCCAATTCATGATATGGCGTGACTACTAGTGATTTTCATTCGTGACAAGTATTTGTCCTCACACCCGACCTGCTGTACCCCACTGGTCACGACTTCTCAGGTAACTGTTTACCTAAAAATGGCCAGTCACTAGTGAGCATCAGATTGATATTCAAGTGTTGGTTTCAAGGGACTTGATTGGTTTCAATGCGCACCTCAGTAGGTGTGCATTGATGAACAGTCCCAAACTAGGACGAAGCAGCTGTCCAGTATTCCTTCCTGGTTTTCAGTGGTTCTCGAACTGATTTCAATCCGTGATGAACTCGTAAAAATGAAAGATATGCTTATACTACTTTTCAGTTATCAGTAGTATAAAGCTGAATACAAAACATATTGGTATAGGAATAAAAAAAATATTTCAAACTGAACATTGAAATTAACATTACTAAACTTCAAACCCGTATACAGAGCCTCCAATGACAGTTTTGGTGTAGAATGACTGAACATATATCTTGCAGGATTATCCGGAAATTTGTCATGAGATTTGATGGATTTGATGGCATTAAATAGTCAAGAATTCCATCAAATAGTATCTTAAAGTTCTGGGTTATCCTGTGAGTGTATATCAGGTGACCAGAAAGGATTAACATTAAGGGATTTTTGACGATGAACCCACCAATAACCTCTTACTCAACAACTACGAATAAGCTAACGAACATGGATTGATTGGACAAATGCTGAAGAGACCGCTGATTGGTATCATATGCTCATAAGTGAGACGCGAATGGGAAATAATTATTTGGTCGTAGGTATGTGGCTCACATGGAGGAGTTCGTGTAAGGTGGAGATGACAGCATATGGCCAACTGATGGAAACAAGATCTATTGCTGAATCGCCTATGTTCCGCTCAGAACCTTAGAGAATAACGGTATTTTTTGAGCTTGACCACGGATTGATATCAGTTAGAGAACCACTGAAAACCAGCCGAGAGTACTGGACAGCTGTTTCATCCCAATTTGGGACTCATCATCAGCATGCACCTGACGAAGTTTTTCACCGTTGGCACTGGTTGGTGGTCATGCTAACATCACAAAGTGATAGGAGTTACGATTCATGGACAACTGGATCATGTCCCATTGGCTGGATGGACTACTAGCCTGCCTTCTAACCGGAAGGTCCTGTGTCCGAAACTCAATGGTTGGTTGAGTCCCAAACAAGGATGAAACAGCTGTCTAGCAATACCTGTGGCTGGTTTTCAATGGTTTTCTAACTGATACCAATCAGTTTTCAAACTCGAAAAACCAATAAAATCTTTGCAAATCAATTCTTGAAAATAGTAATAATAACATAATTCCGACGGCTAGGTGACAGATGCATAAATTTTCGGGAAAATTCTCTCTTCCAGTACAATCACTACATGCAATACGTCGTGAAAACTAAATATCCTCGAATTCTACGTCAATCATTCTCGTGTTATTTATTCTATATCTAATTAATTTCCTCTATTTTTCTATCTCTCTATCATCTCATATTAGTTCCGAAGTACAGAAATACAGAATGACCATCAAACTGAACCTTCGAATACCAATAAAACAAACAGTACAAATTTCAATGCCAACTTAAACTCATACCTAAAAGATGAAGATCTAATGAACCTGCCTCAAGGTACCAGTAGACACTTGATCAATGTGCTCAATGAACAAACACCAGCCATACAAATTACCCGGAAAATTGAAAATATTGAATCATTTCGATTCAGATATAAAAAAGAAGCCTGTTAGGTGAAATCTATTCACACATACCAAAAAATAAATTTAACAAATTCTTTAAAGAAAAAAGAAATATAGTTCATATATATATATATGCGTCTTTATGGTTTCGTTTTATTTTTCACCTGTGACGGATTGAACATTAATTTATGTGAGTAATAGTTCAATGTTCAACGTTTCATAGTATTCTTGCAAACACCAAAACATCTTTGAATAATTTGTAATTATTTGTATTTCTGCGCTTTTTCGTAATAATATATATGAAAATAAAAATAGCATGGAAATTGTCATTTAATTATTTTATGGATATTTTCATTAAAATCATCTAAGCTCATTGAAGAGCACTATTCCCTCTTCAGCAAAATCATTCCCAACCTCAAGAGTCGTATATATTTGTAGTAAATTATCTTAGAAACAAAATGAATATTTGGCCAAGTTAAACTTTAGGCACCACAAACTACCAATCAGTGAATGACCTCGAATGGTCAAATGAGTTTCATCCACGTGAGTTCAAGGTTGTATTCCGCTGGATTCGTATCAAATGCCTGCTGTAAAGAAGTTACTCTTGCAGTCCGATGAGGATAAGGTTTTGCAGTATTGCCTGGATTTGGGGTTGCTTAGTAAGGAGAGGATTTGATCATGTGGTAATGTGATGAGTTTGAAAAGCTTTAGCAGGTTGATTGATGGATATGTCCATCGTTGTGTCGTTTGCTTGAGACGAGTTGATATTAGGGAAGGTGACCTGATAATTTTAATATCTCGGACGAATATTTTTTGCTAGATCACATCTCTCCCTAAGGCAGATTTTCTATATTTGTAATTACTGAGTTTTAGAACAGCCTGTGAGAGGTGCAGCTGCAGAAACTGAAAATAGCCTCGTGTCAACAGTTCAGTGATGCCAGCACTGCACAGACATTGCCTCATGAAAAAAAGAGAGAACCACTGCGATGTTAGGCGGAGAACTTATCGTCATACAAGTAGATGAAGCTGTCTTATTGAAGGAAAATATAACATTGGTCGTGTTGTTGACTTGGTGTTTTCTTGACTTCTATATTTCGTTATGAACTTTCTGGGATATCTATTGTCGGTAAGGTTCTCTTCAATAATTCCAAGTTCTTCTTCAGTCTTGTTTTTTGAATATAACTTCTTGTCTCCGTTTGTAGCTACAAAAGAAATCTGAACACTAACTCTCTCATGTCTAACCATATTGTAGACGTTTAGGCTTCTGACACTGAAAAATTCATCAACTTACATCATTTTTGGACTTGCGTTACTTACACTTGCTTTCTGTAATTCAACGTCCCCGTGATTAGAGTATGTATGTTCATCAATTGTGTAACTTCTATTCTAATATTGATCAAGATGTACGCAGTTGGAGAGAATCCACATAATAAAACGAACTGGTATTATCCTGCATATACATTCTTTTTTCTCCGTTCTAATCCAGTTAAGAGCAGCGATAATACGGATTAAAAATGTAATACAGGGGAATAAAGATAGTATGACTGAAAGAAAATAAAATAAATAACTGACGATAAGACAGATCAGGCCCATTGTAGGTTCAGTGACTGAAGAGTGAAAGATTTAATACGTGAATTGTTACCTCTTCCGCGGTTTGAAAAAACTCAAATTTGTAGTGCATTGGCGAGATTTCCACGTATTATCCAAATGATTTTGAAGTTGGTTTGTGGGTAGGCTTGGTGTCAACAGGAGATCAGATGCTTCAGAATGGAGCTGATGTTGTATCTGCTATCTTGTTCATATGGATAGGTGCTCTAAGGTATGTTATGATAGCAAACGGTGAGTACGACCAATGTACGTAACTTCATGGGACCCAGTGAATTTGTAGGTGCACACTGAAATGGCCTTCAGTATGAAACCAGCTTAAGCAGCTGCTGACTAAAGTTCAAAGCCTATTGGAAATACTATCAATGGTGATGTAAGTCTCTTAACCATATAAATCACACACTGGGAATTGAAATCTTGTTCTTGCCTTCCATATTCTGTCTCTGACATATATTTATATGTATTCTTTTTGAAACTGAAATAACTAGCATCACATCTACCTTAAGTAATAATTTCTCCATGCTTTGAATATTTTTTGAATCAGTGAGGTGGTTTGTTAACAGAGTGGAGTAGCTAGTCTTACAATCAACTTCTCTATTTATTTTCCAAGCTTAGGACTCGCTAGTAGGCATGTTATTTGGCTAGCTAGACGAAGGTAACATGGAGGAATCTGTGTCAGACATTGATCGTAAACTAAAAAGAAGCAAAGCATGAATGAATATTGGTCACAATGTAAATAATGAATCTGTATTAATCAATCTTAATAGTAAGTAAAGGGAACAAGAATAATGGGGCAGGAAGTCATCCCTATTTGAACAATATCCAACGGACATTAAGCCAATCTCCAAGCTTATTTTTCATTATTATTATGACTATTTGTAATTGTAAGGGTAATGTTGTCATTATCTGTTCCATATTTTGCTTTTTCACGATGTTTTTAACTTCTTCTCATGTTTCCTCCTACTCTAGCCTACACCTAACACACACACACACATACAAAAACACAAATTGTCATAACTCATATCCAGTGATTCTTTGAAATTATACTGAATCATACAGAAAATTGAAACACCCAATGGAATCTTGTGATCACTCCATCATTTCCACTGTCCAATTTCAAGAGAAAATTAGAGGCATCTGAATGGATGAACAAGAAATAATGATATCCTTCGAAGTCACAGCATTACATACCTCAATCGGACAAAAACTAGCGAAAGAGACCATGGAGCAATTATTCAGCAACGACAAACACCTCCCACAACAATTAGCAATGCAACACACAAGCTGAATGGAATGCGTTAACCTACGCCTAACAGCGTACTTCCAGCTCAGCGGTCAAATATATATGAACAAGTTAAAGAAACAATCATGGGATCGCCAATATCAGGTTTGATTGCAGTGGCAGTGATGTAAAGGCTCGATAACATAATCCTACCAAAGATCAAACCGAAAATTTGGATACATTACGCAGATGAAAAATTTGTAATAATCAAAAGAAACGAGTTGGATAAAATTCACAACCTAATAAACAACGTCTTCAATGACATCAAATTCACAAGAGAAGAGGAATCCGAGGACAAAATCCCAATTTTGGATGTCTTAGTCAAGCGAACAACCACAGGGGAATCAGAAACTCAAGTTTATAAAAGATCAGCCCACACGGACCAAATACTGAATTACAACAGCAACAATCCAATAACACACAAATGGAATTTTACAGAAACACTTTTCAAGACGGCCAGGACTCAATGCAACACACCCCCCCTAAGGAAAATTGAAGAAAGATATCTCATGGACATCTTGCAAAAGAGTAGATATAAACCGAACTTCATCAAAAAATATCTACCCCAAGCCATCCTATCAAATCAAAGGCTTCTAAGGAAAGTACAAAAAAAATGACTTACCATAAATAAAGGACATCTCACAAGCCACAACAAAACTCTTCAAACCTTTAAGAATTGACGCCGCACAAAAACCAAAAAAATCAACTAACTCAGTTCTATGTCAACCAAAAGACTCAACAACGAAACAAAATAAAACCAACATCATCTACAAAATAAATTGTAACAAGTGAAGAAAACACTATATTGGCCAAAGTGGACGTCCCCTTCGTCTTCGTATCCATGAACATAAGCTAGCCGTCAAAAGACATGACATCCAATCCCTCGCTTATATCACTACATACAAACAATCACGGACATCAATTCGACTGAGACAATCAGCGTTCAAATATTACATAGAGGAAACAACAAGAATCCTAGAGAATTTTTAGAAGGCTGCCTGGTATTCAATCAATAGAAAAATTGACATAGATAAAAAATTACCAATTGATAAGCAGGAAATCTCATACACAGATGGTCAAAGTTGAAGTCAAGAAAACAATCAGTTCCAATACAAGTAGCCTAGAGAGTGTGAAAACACACAACAACAACCAAAGAGTCACGTTCAAGGTCACCCTCCAGGAGAGATGACTCAAACCCTCGTGGAGAAATCTGAAAGTTCACTTCAACAAACTGAAGTATGCGCTGAAGATGTTGCCTTGTAGGTCAATGAAAGCTTCGCAAATTAATTACCTAGCTCAGAGAGTACAACCACATCAAAAACAGCCTCGTGTATTTAAGTAGTCGTATGAGTGTTGAAAGAGGTGTGACGGATAAAATCTTCAGTCGTCCATCCTGAAACCAGCTAAAGACGACTGAAGACGAGAGGATGAAATGGATATGTGCTGCAGCAGCTCCATGTTCCACTCAGAACGTATGGGAATAACAATAATAGATATTCTAGGCTATCTGCAGATTACGAAAAGTCAAATGTACACAGTTGACACATCGTTTAGAGAACTGCTGAAGTGCCTGGGGGTACTGGACAGATGATTCGTTAGCCTAGTTTGGGACTCTTCATCAGTACGCACCCACTACAAGGATTCATTGTCTGTAAGTTTGTATGATTACGTTTTATTTTCGTTTGGTTCCTAGTGAAACATTAAACTTCAGCAACACATCTGCGTTTCATTCTCTTCTCTGAATTCGGATTTAGTTTTCTTCCCAACTGTCCATAAACAGCCTAACAGGATCTCCGCAGTGTCACTGCCAAGCATACACTAAACTCACTCCTGCGCATTCGGTTAACACTCGATGACCTGGAGGGCGATGTTACTGAGCCACCTGGACAACATATGTCCAATCCAACCAAATTTCCTTCAGCACATTAGTTGACAGTGAAATATATTCTCAGTTGGTTCGTTGCCTGAGAAAGTTATTCTTTACTTATCCCCTTTGGCTGGTCATCTGATCTTCATTGTCGAGCCAGCGATAAAAATTCTGAAGTGGTTGTTGGAAATGCATTTAGTGGCATGCATGCCAAGCCTCTGTAGCATGCAGAAGCACTGACTGATTTGACATTTGTGATGAAAATCCGAGTCTTGTTCTCTGTGTTCAGTGTAGCAA